CACCACTTCCGGCTTTTTTCTTTTTGCTTATGTGGTGCTGAGGAATCGAACCCAGGGCCTCAGGCATGCAAGGCAAGTGCTCTACCACTGAGCCAATTTCCTAGCCCCCCATAAATAATTTCTCTTAAGCAGTGGTTATGTCTGCCCACAAATACTTAGACAAGTTAATTCTTGTACCTTTAAAAATGTTTGAATTTTCGACGGTAACATTTTCTGACCATACTGTACAGTTTTGAAGCTTTCTCTACCTTATAATGACAGCTTCTTATGTAAGTAATAACTTACTTTCTGCAGTACATGGCACAATTCTTTTCAGGTTCTTTTTACATATGGGATGTTTTACGAAGGTGTTCTTATTACCACATTGTGTTTTTCTGTTACCTTTTACCTGGTAATGTACCATCCACAAGGAGAGTAAATTAGTTTGAATTTTCCATTGAGGATGGGGGAAATTTACTGTCCTTATGTTGATAATATTAGATGTTTGTCAATTAATTTTATATTCACTCCCTCAATTATACTCAGCCCTTAGTCTTTGCCTGACTTCCAGCACTCATGCCTTACATCTACACACAGCTTGATGCCTAGGCTGTAATTTGATTTATTGTACTTTAGGCACAGAGCTGCCCTTAGCCATTTTACCTTTGAGATTTGAAATCAATTTAGGATTCTATCATTTTCATTCATTTTAGGCTTTCTATTTCTGGAACTCAGTTTCTTTATTCTGTGAGGTAAATGGTTTAAGTGTGAAATAAAATGAATGCTACAGTTCATAATGTATTTGAAATGCTTCTACTTTGTTAATGCTAACATTTAATAAATATTATGATGTAAAATCCATTTAGATTAAAATTTTTGATGATTCTGAAAGATTGCTATAAAGAGCAAAATGAAACAAAGGCAAAGCCTATATTTTATATTTTCCATTAATTCATTTTAAAGAGGTTGAAGTAATTATATATATTTTCCTTCCCTCCTTCCTTCTTTCCTTTTTTTCTCCCTTTCTCCCTTCCTTCCTCCATCCTTTCATGACTCCATGCCCTCTTTTCTCCTTTATTCCCTCCATTTGCTGGTACCAGGGTTTGAACTCAATGTCATGTATTCACTCAACTCTCCTGAGATCAGCTGTCATTCTACCACTTGAGACATGCCTCCATCCAAGAGTTTTGCTTGTTATTTTGGAGATGGAAACTTTTCTTCCTGGGATGGCTATGAACATCAGTTCTTCAGATCTCAACCTTTCAAATAGGTAGGATTATTGGTTCTTCTCAAGTAGTTAAAATAATTTATACTTAATTCATTCTCTTTTAGCATTGTCCTTCTGCTGAGCCAAAAACAGACACTTGAAGAACTGAAACAATCAGTCCAGCAGCTAAAATGCACTGAAGCAAAGTTTACAGCACAGAAAGAACTACTTGAACAAAAAGTACAAGAAAATGATGGAAAAGAGCCACCTCCTGTAATAAATTATGAAGAAGATGCACGATCCGTTACATCTATGGTAAGCTAATCCACTGAGAAACCTTAAAGGGTTATATCTAGGTAGTAAGTGAACACAAAAATTAACTCTGATTTGCTATAACAAATTATTACTCTTGTTATGCAGGTCCTATTAAACTTATTAGTAAATGTAGAATAGACTTATCAGTCACTTCAGGTCACCTGGAGAGTATTTCAGAAACCATTTGTAGAGTCAGAGAAATAAGGTTCTTCTCTTGCCTTTAGAATTGTAAAAAGAAAGACTGCAATTGTTTTTATTCCTGGGAGACAGCAGGAAGGTAGGGTGTTATTCTTAAGATGGAAGTAAGAAATAAGGAGAAAGTTGTTATTAAGAGCAAATTTTTTTTTCTCAGATTGGTGGTATGTTTATTGTATCATACACAACATTGATTTAGTTTTAAAATGATTCTTTGCACATAAATATGATCCTTAATACATTCAACTTCACCAACTTGAAATTAAATTCAGTTTATATAGTTTTATTAAATGTTTAAGAATATCTAGTATAAACCAATCCTTCCTCCCTCCTTTTCTCCTTATTTCCCTTTCCTTCTTTCCCTATTTCTTTCCTACCTTCCTTTTCCCTTTCCCTCCCTCATTCCCTTACTCCCTCTTTCCAGCCCTCCTTTCCTCCCTTTTTTCTTTTATTAGTTCTTAACTAAGGGGAATTTTGCTCAACAGGGAACATTTGGCAGAATCTCTAGATACATTTTTTGGGGAGGGAGCAAGTGGAGGAGGCTGGATTATCTGGTAAACTGTACTGGACAGAATAGCTCCTGCATTTACACCACCAACAAAAAATTATTGAGCTCCAATGTTAGTAGTCATATGGTTGAAAATATCCTAAGGTATATATTTGGAGAGTTGGTTGTACTCAATAGATAGAACAATTATATTTAACACATTTATAGTTGATATTTTAGTAATTTCTAGTTTATGTGTTTCTAAATAATATGATTGTTAGATTCTTTTGCATCCATAGAATTAAGGACCATATTTGATACTGCAATAACTGTGGAAAATATATGAAGTATTTAAAAATGTTGTGGTTAACATTAGTTTTGTTATAGGGAACTATAGTAGTATGCACATTGATTGAATTTTGTACTTCCTTGCTTTCTAGTACTATTCTACCTAGAAAGCTCTTAATCAATGAAAAGATTCCTGTTGGAGATTCTTACTCTTCCTTATAGCTATCTGGAAAATGTGATTTTTTTGGAGGAGCATTTCAAGTTTTTTTTTTCCTTTTACTTGGTTTTTCAATACCTTAAATCTTTGGTTTTCAGTGTGTTTTATATGTTCTCCCTATGTGGTTGTGCAGTTTACTAGTTAGGTAATTTGCTTGACTTAGTGGCATATTGGTTAAAATTTGATAGTTTATTTTAAATAATTATGTGTACATATAAATCATGTTAGTATTGTTATGATAGAGTAAGAAGTTGGTTCATATTGTTAGATGTTATCTGTTAGATACTATTTGCTCAAGTTGTTAGATGCTATGGATAACTGAATTAGTATATAACCTTCATAGTTGAAATATAATAGTTTGTTCTTATTTTATGAAGATTAGTAATCATTTAGAATTCAGCCTTTAGTGCTTTTTTCTTTTTTTAATATGTTTTTATTGTAAAAATACTGTACAGAGGGGTTACAGTTACATGTGTAAGGTAAGGAATACATTGTTACCTCCACCTTTATTTTTTCCTTATCATCCTCCCCGCCCTTCCCCTCCCCCCTCAGTTGTAAAGTTGTTTCAACATAGTGTCTTGTACATCTCATTGTTACAATGGATCAGCCTGTATCCTTATTTCAACATTTTGTTATTTCTCTTCCCCTCTCCAAATTAGAAAAATGTAGATACAAGGTGCAGGGTACTGACATCAAATACAGTGAAAATGGGTTATACAGTGGGGGAAGAACATACAAGAGAAACAAAAAAATCATTTAGTACATTTTAAATATGTTAAAAACAATAGCAAGGGGGGTCAGCTCTTCAGCTCAAGGCTAGCACTCTACCACTTGAGCCATAGTACCACTTCTGACTTTTTTCTTTTTGCTTATGTGGTGCTGAGGAATCGAACTCAGGGCCTCATGCATGCAAGGCAAGCGCTCTACCACTGAGCCACCTTCCCAGACCATAACTAACTTTCTTGATAGTGAAATGTGTGTTAGAAAAGTTTCAATTATGCATGTGGTACAATATAAAAGTTGAACTGCTGATGGGCTGAGAAGGTGGCTCAGTGGTAGAGTGCTTGCCTTGCATGCATAAGGCCCTGGGTTCGATTCCTCAGCACCACATAAGCAGAAATTCAGAAGTGGTGCTGTGGCTCAAGTGGTAGAGTACTAGCCTTGAGCTGAAGAGCTGAGGGACAGCGCCCAGGTCCAGAGTTCAGGCCCCAGGACTGGACCCCCCAAAAATATCCCCAAAACAATAGCAAGCAAGAAAAAAACCCCACTTGTATCTCTACCTTGGGGTTCATTTCACTTAATATTATCTCTTTAATACTATTGAAGAAAAACTTTCCCACCAAATGAATGGAATTAACAATTTTTCAGAAAATGTATAAATAACTTTAAGAGAACAGACTGCTTTTGACACCTTCAGACTCTTGTACTTATTTATTAGATAGTGACAATACCTTGTTTATCATCTCAGGAAACTGAGGCAGGAGGATTACAAATTGGAGGCTAGCCTGATGTGCGTATTAATATACTGCCTCAAAAAAAAATCTAGTAAGACTTTAAGGGTGAAATTTATTGATTTACAAAGGAATGTTGTAGTATAAGTAGTTTAATAAATTAATGTTTTATAATACTATATGCATTGCTTTAACTAATTAATGTTTTATAAATCAGACAAGGAATCCCACTATCTCAATCCATCTCTATGATTTATAGTATATTTTATGAAGAGAGTAGAAATGTATATGCAGAAAGAGAGAGTGCATAGCACTCAGCACTTAATCCTTTCTCACTAATCTTAAGGAGATCTTGGCATATGTCAATATTTTAAAATAATATTTAGAATACAACTTTTTAGTTTACTTGAAAACAAAATATTAAAGCTTATGATTTTGTCCCTGACAATTTTTTGAAACAATCTTGTAATTTTTATTATAGAGGTGATGTATAAAGGGGTTATCATTTCACAAGTCAAGTAATGAGTGTATTTCTGTTCAGACAATGTCACCTCTTCCTTTAAATGACAATTTAAGCCTAGAATTAACACAAGCAGCTTTTATTGTTATTTCCTCTTCATAAACACTTAGACTTCAAAAAAGAAATATGGGTGAATATCAGAATTGGAAGAATTCAAAGTATATCATAGAAAATGCACAAAAATGATTAAAATCTGACCTAAATATTGTTTAGTAATAGGAAAGAAAACGAACTATTGCACATTATTCTTGTTAATGGCAGTGTTGCTCCAAATGTGGACTCTTTAGTGGAGACTGCCTCTGTGGAAGAATACTTTAAAGAACTGTGTCTTTGGCTATACATTTATTTCATATAAAGATCCAAGGTGCTTCACATGTATCTTCAGCTGAGTATTGTGTACTTTAGCTCTACGGTACCATGACATTGTTCTTTCATTGGTTTATGAAATTCTAAAAAAGTACTTAGGAAAACTATAATGTAATCATCTTAGGATGATTGTTTTTCCAATATTGACTTTTTTCACTTAGGTATACTTATTATTAAAATAGAGAAAAATGATAATATTAACTGTTACACAATAAGTCTATGTTGTATTTTATTTATTCATTCAAGTAATATTTATGAATTCCTATTATGTGCCAAGCATATGTTGATGAGATACATAAGTGAATAAAATGTATAAACTTCTCTCTTAGAGGTTATTAATATTATGGTGACTGGCATTTAATAAGTAATTAAATCGTATTCTGTTGGAAGAGGAAAAGTTTGAAGGAATAAAAGTGTCAGAGTAATGGACTAGGGGTCTAGTGTGTTAGAAGTTGGGACGTAATTTTAAAACCAGTCTAGTGAAGCAACACTGAGAAGACTTTATTTGAACATGACACTTAAAACAGTGAGCTACCAAGCCATTGGATTTCTGGGCAGAGCTGTGCAGCCATAAGGGGAATCCATTGCAAAGACTAAACTTAGAGCCATATCTGGGCTGTCCAAAGTCCACCACTGAGGCCTGAGTGGAGGACAAGTGTATAGAGACAAAAGAAGAATAGACCTTAGTTACAGATTATAGTTTTTCTTTGAGTGAAACTAGGAGCTGTTGGTTTGAGGATTATAATAGAAGGAAGGCATGGTATAACTTAGGACTTAAGTGGATCACTCTTGTGATTTTGTTGAGAAAGTTTTGAAGGGGATCTCAGATAGAAAAATGAGACTTGTATTGATGATCCAGATGATAGAAGATGAAGGTCTGCTTTATACTCTTTATTTCCTTCCGAAGTATAATTATAGAGTCTACTAATATACTTTTCTACAGGGATAAATTATTCTTGAAACCCTGATCAACAAGATGTGAAATCTGATTATAGAGTACTGGATGAGACTAAATTAAATTGAACTTTGGCAGTACTTTGTTAGAAGAAATAAGCACTAATATATGTCTTCAGTACATCTGGAAGCCATTATTATTTTAAAGGGGAAAGTATAGTGATAATTTGTGGAAACCATACCTAATTGTGTTAGCAATATTTATTCTGCTGAGCTGGTAGTAGTACTGGTCTAAGAGTTTTATCATACTGATTTGATCAATTAAATTAGATAGATTTTATTTCCCATTATATAGGTTCTGCTAGTTTGTAGGAGCTTAAAAAAGCATGCTAAGGAAGCATGAAATCTAGAATTTGGAGTGTGTTGGGTTAAACCAAAAGAAACAGTGGTATTGATTACAGGAATTTTCTAAGATTTCTTTTTATTGTGAAAATACTGTACAGAGGGGTTACAATTACATGGGCAAGATAATGAGTACATTTCTTATCAAGCATTGTAGCCTCCTCCTTTGTTTTCCCTTCC